TTTAATGCCTTTAAGTAAATGACAGAACACAAGCTTATTTACCTGATTGACCTGATTCGAACTAATTTTTCAAGGATCGTCTGAATTTGAGCTATGCTCCTAAACTAGAGCTGAAGGTTACCGCACTTCTCATTCCATCATTTAAAGCCTGAGTGAAAACCTCCTTCCATCATAGCAATGATCCACTTTCCCTCCTCGATTGTCTATTTGGTTCTCTAATTATGGATTGTCTGTTTTATTTGATCTCCATCTATGCTATGCAAAACTTTCAATGGTGCTTAGATATTAGTTCTAAAGAAGAGTTTTCTGAGAGAAGAGTTGCACAATTGTGGTGATGCACAGTTGCATGCGAAGAGATGAAAGGTCAAAGTCATAACTCGTGTCATCAAAAATTATCTTTGATTTATTGTATTATTTACTCCCAATAGCAAAAGGCATTTTGGTCCATTCACCTTATCATTTTCTAAATATTAAAATGAGTTTGGTCCTTTAATTGTATTTGGTCCCTAAGCATAATTTTCCTTTCAACTAGGGTTTTTTCACCAATTCTCTCTTATTTCTTTTACCAAATGCATTTCAATATTCAAAAGCAAAAGTGGCTTTCACTTTCTTTTCCTTATGTGTCTATACATACATACATACATACATACATACATACATATATATATATATATATATATAATCAAGTTAACCTGTATGTCGAGAACATTAGAGATAGAGGTTGAATGTGCTCTCAGGGGAAAGGGTGATTCCTCAAAACTTGAGGGTGATAGAATTCGGTTGACTAAGAAAGTTAGCATATATGATGTTATTCCTCATTTAGAGGATCAAAGTGCAACATTGGGAAAAATGCTAGATGTTAATAAGGAAGAAGATGATGGTTTTGCATGTCTCTCATATAAGAACAAGTTATTGGATAATGGAAAAGTAGAGTCTTAAGGAGAAATCAAGATTATTGATTAGGACTATAGAATTAGAAAGAAAGGTATAATTCCAACTACTGATTTCTTTGAGAGGGTTCATGATCTAGTTGTGAAGGGCATAGAGAAGACATTAGTTTTGAAATCATTAGGGAAATTCATCAGATATAATGATCTCTTGATGAAACTTTTGAATATGTGGAAACTAAGGGGTTTTTTTTGAGTTAATGGATGTGGAAGGACATTTCTTTCTGGCCACCTTCACAACTCATGAAGACTATCTGAAGGTTTTAATAGAGGGATCGTGGATGACTTTGGTAGGCTACCTTATCATGCAATCGTGGTCCATTACGCTAATACAAAAAATATTACCTTAATAGGTTTAAATAAGGGTTTTAGAAATGAAATAAAGTTTTTTTCCTAAAAAAATTTGTTTCTAAATCGGTTATGACGTCATAATTGTTTCAAATATAACACATATCTAAATCGATTATGATCATAATCGATTTAGAAACTATATCTTTTTTTTTTACAAAAATTTGTTTGATTGTTTCTTGCATTTACCTTAGTTTTGATAGGCTGCAATTACTAGTAAGAAAAAGCTCTTTTAAACTTGTTAAAAATGCTCAGCTAGACCGGTTCATAAATTGGTTTATATAAGAGAGGTTGGGCTTTCTGAACCGATTAAACAATTGGTTTAGAAAATGATTTTCTAAATAGTTTGGAAAGTGACCTAGAACAAAAGAAATGAAAATCATATTCTAAACCAATTATACATTAATAATTGATTTAGAAAGTCATCTTTTAAATTGGTTAATGTCATAACTAGTTTTAAAAAAATATTATTTTTAAACTGGTTAATGTTATAATTGGTTTTGATAGTTTTTTTTTTACTACTTTGTTTGTTTTCTTTATAACCCCTTCTTTTCTTGGGCATATTTTTCATTTAACCTGCAAATAAAAATCGGCCATTCTAGTCCATTACAACTAATATAATATAATCAAGTACTAATATAAATGAAATAAGTGAAATAATATCCAATTCAAATATCTAATTCAAACAAAACTTAAAGCCTAAACTATATACAATTAAACATTGTAATAAACTAATCAAACTAAAAATTCAAATTAAAAATAGAGCTTTATAGCTATGTACTACCCTATACGAAGCTTTATAGAAAACTCTATTGATTGACCTTATCAACATCCTCTTCAGGGAATAGCTCAGTAAGCTTGAACATTTAAAAGTAGAAAGTCAAGTATAAGTAAATTCTAAGGGAGAATAAAAAACCAAATTAATAAATTTACTTCTTGGGTGAATGGAGTCATGCCATATTTGATGTTGAAAATGTACCGCATGACATACAAGCCGCGTAATTAAGATTTCTTTAACTATCTATGACTCTATAAAAGAACAACAGAACGAGTATTTTTAAAAATTAAGTAGGCTTATCTCTAAAAAAATATGCTCTTACCTTTGGTGTGATCCATATAAGGTTTTTGATTTCATGGGTATGCTTCCTCAACTCGGCATAGTAGGATGTCCTTATAGCCTTATTATCAAAATTACAAAGTCAACTATGACTAACTAAACATGACAAATAATGTTTTATAGTTAAGGGATATGTGTTAGTCCACCATCTTCTTCAAATATTTTCCCACTTTATAGCGAAGGAAGCATAAGAAGAGAATGATATTGCTCTTCATAGTAAAAAATGCCAATTGCCAATGGCTGCTATAGAAAAACATTAATAGGAGTTAGAAAAAGTAAATTCAAAGCAGAATGAGAATGAAATACAAAGTTTTTTTTACTCATGGATATATGGTGCAATGTAACACTCCTTCCCTTCGATGAACCTTTGAAATATACATGCATGTCTTAGCTTAAGAGTGTTCCTAAACTCTTAGGTATGAATCGGGAAAAGCAATCCAAACCTATTATCTTTTCTCGATAACACCAAATCATGATGGACATACTTATAATGTTGTAAGAAAATTAGTTAAATTGTTTAATTATGTTAATTTAAGACAAGATACTTACATTAACCAAATTTGAATGTGTGATAAGGTGAGATGACAATCATTCCACATCCACATCAAGTCCTCTCTTTCAATCTTGACATTCACTTCCTTTTTTTCCTGATAATTGTTAGATCCATTAGAAAAATTGCTATCCTAAAGGACTTGTCATTCACTGTCAAAATATGCTGCTACATCTAAGTCAACTGCAATTGGGGAATCACTTGATTGGAGGGGGCAATCTGCAAAATAATTTCAAGTCAATAAAAAATATTTAAAAGTAAAAAATCCAAGTTGAAAAATATAATTGCACTTACTTTAGCTAGAACCATATTAATAAGTCTTTTTGGCCAAAAGATAAATGCCTTCTTGGCCTCATCAATAATCTTGACCTCTTTAGTAGGGAAGTAGGACATGGGCATTAGTAACTACAATCTCCTTAACTACTATTCTAATTTGGTCATCTTGTTTTGGCATGTGGTAGACAGTTGGCCTCAAGTTGTAGATGTTACCATGTGCTACTAAACGTTTGTCAGGATTTTCCATATATAGCTCACAAGGATCACTCATGGCAAGACTTATATTAACCTTTGATAGACACTTAGCAGCGTAGCAGCTCCCTTTCGTGTTTTAATGAGCAGTAAGAAAGTAGGTCTGTGAACCAGATATATCCTGTCGTAAACTCAAAATATTCATCATTTTTCTCCTCTATTTGTTTCATCCTTCCATTTAACTTGGTATCAAATGATGCTTTTGCCTCCACCCTTATAGTGGTTGGCATTGATTTTAGATCCTCCTTGGTGACCGCTCCTTGGGCATGTCATGTAGATGCTCTACATATGTCCTTTATGCTTGCCCCACCCCCAACTCCCCTAATACAGCCAAGATGCTCTTGTTTCCCTACAATGATAGTCAATATGTCATTCCTTTCGTCTGATGTAAAGGATCTATTGGCTTGCTTATTTTTGAGTTCATCTTGTAACACTAGATCACAAATAATAGTAATTAATATTTTCCTAAAGCAAATAAAATAAAGAATAATAATACTCATAATCTTTTCATAAATTACATGAGCCTTGTCACTTGTATAGGACTTGCTCCTTGTTTGGTGAGCATACTTCCATTTGTCTTCGCGATGCATCAGAGATGGTGGAGAAAGAAGAATGAAGGGTTGGATTAAGCTTATTCCTCAAACCTCTTCCTTTTTTGTGCCATCAAGTCTTAGTCAACTTTGGCATAACTACACGAGACATTGTGTAGGAGAAATCGTTCCTCTTACCATTTGTTTGTCCTTGTGCCCATTTTGCTTGTAAAAAAACAACACAATAAGTGAGTTAGAATAAACAAAAGCAAGAATTAATAATATAATTGAAATGACTTAGAATAATTCAAAATAAATCAACTCACCAAAGGTGTTGATATCATCCAAAACCTATAGAATTTTTTTTAAGTATCTTTATCAAGAAAGGAATACTTGGAGCATGGATTAGGACGTGGTTCACCATCTTCCATATCGATGCACACATATTGGCGAGCCAAGGTAGTCTTGAATGACCTCCAAAAGAGGCAATTCACAACAAAAGGAAACCAAAACTATGCTAGCTTGGACAAAATGAAAGTTTTGATACACAATACGCACCCAATCATTACTCAGGCCATTGTTTACTCCACCCTTAATCGACTGCAAGGCATTTTAAAGTCGCTCAAAACTCTTCTTATTAAGGCACTATGTGAAGAGATGATGTTATTTTTTTCAAAATTTCTCGCTCACAAATCAGACCACCATTGATACTCATTTGAAAAAATCCCTCACCATCGAAATTTGGAGTCCTCCTTGTCTACATCATGTGAAGATTTGAAGAAGTAAGGGTGATTTTCTTTTAAGATGTTGTCGCTTAAGTCGAGGGCATTCTGGTCAGCACAATACTAAATTAAATAAATAAAATAATAAACTCGGTCTTTCAATAATATTTGAGTCCTAGATTAATTTTCTTTTTAACGCGATGTTTTTGACCAATTTTCTCAATCTTCTATCATTTTCTCAATTTTTTTTTTATATTTTATTTTAACTGGACGATATCTTTGCTTTTCGCAATCTCGCAGCACTGGAAACCCAGACGCCGATAAGACGATGAACTGAAACATAACGCTGAGAGAGAGATCAGATACTGTCTGGCTCCCTCCGAAGCAGCGTGCTTCAATTTCAGCACAGGGTGGTTTGCACCTCTCTATATCTTCTTGGCCCTTTGCTGCTAGCTCCGACTGCTTCGTAGGCGAGTTGATCCATGGATCCATTGGTTTCCACTCGGATCGACATCTTTGAGATATATCGTCGATACCGTGGTAAGTTTCTTTTTAAAATGCTTGACAACGTTTTTATCATTTTTCAGCTGTTTCTTGGTCTTAAAAGATTATGGAATTCGGTTCTAGATAGCCTATTTTTCCGTTGAGACTCAAAGATCGTATTGGTTTCATGGCATAATTAGATTGTGAACCCCATGTTTAGTTTCTTGGCTATTCTGAAAATAGGTCTTTTTTAGCTCACCATCCGTTGGCAACACCACGTTTAGTGCAATTCGTGGGCAACTTCTAAAACAGAGTATTGTGCTACGGCGCATGCAATTGGAGATGTTTTATTTCTAAATGAATTCTATCTTCTTAAAAGAAATCATAAGGGCTGAGGGCTTAATTTTTACAGTCCAATTTGAAAGCAAAGCATCATCTTTCATATTGCCGGGGGGATTTGGGTCCGAGACCTAGAGAGAGTAAGTGCCTGGAGCTTTGTGGTCATATAAGTGATATTTGAGCATCTTCTGCAGACATCAAAACAGGAAATACACATCATGCGGAAGAGGGCTACAGGCAAGACTGTGACCTTCAGAAGGCTAGACACTCAAGGGAGGCATTGGCACAGCTATTAAAATTGGCGGAGTCCAGAGTTCATATAGGGTATGGACGTGCCCTTTTGTGCAGCTTTCTGGAAACTTCAAACTTCCAATAGGAGTTGATATTAAAATCATGCCGAAAGTTTTCACTGACATAAGTTAACTGTCTCCTTCAATTTTTCAATTTCTATGCCCAGTCTTTCCCGTCCTTCTTTGAGCGATGCATAACTTGCAGATGTCGGCTAGTTGTTGGAATGTATTCTTATGTCTGTTCTAGTTTCCAAAGTTTGGGAACACTATTACTGAAACTGTTCGTTTCGTTTCGTTTTGTTTTAATTTAGTTCATTGGAAATCAAGGTAGGGCATGAATGATTTTTCATTGATTCTCTAACAAAAGAGGAAGAAACTTTTATCTAAGCAACTCACCTTCTTTAGTGGAAAGTTAAAGAAAGGTTCCCTCTTGATGCTAGATTTGTAAAACCCTGCATGCTAATGGTGCTAGAAAGGCACTCGCTTGAGTAAATCAAAGTGCTAAAGTAATAAAAGAATGTGATATAAGAAAACCCCCCTCCCCCAGAAAAAAAAAAATGTAATTTGAAATAACTCTGACGTCATTTACTTTTTCCAGCAAACTAGAACTACAGAAACATGGTTTTTCAGATAGGGCATCCAGGACAAACGATTGTTTAATTAATATTGAGATTTACTATTTTACCCTATTATAAAAGGTTGGCCTGGATTTGTTTCCTAATTTATGGGCTTACGATGCTTCACATGAGTAAGTTGCCTGAAGGCACACACCTTTCATGACGAAAAGGCCCACAAGGTGAGAACCTTTTGGCGTCTTAGTGAAGGCAGTGCCTCTTGAGGTGTATCATCTTATGCCTTGCCTTACTGCCTTAGGCATTAAGGTGAGTGCCTTTAACCCATGTTGGGAAAAATATTTCCTTGTGTTACATTGTTTATTTGTGATATCAACCGAGATTTTTTGGTTAATGGTATATCAGAAGGGTTGGATGTGAATAGAGTACAATGGTGTCATGTGATCAGTAGCTTACTTGACTTATTTGGATAAGACTTGTTCTTCTCATTGTCATTTGCTATAATTGTATACTGTGGTGAGCTTGATATTTATATACTAGTTAATTAACTAGTAATGATTAACAATTACTAAAAAATTTAAGTTAAAACTATGTTTCTAAAGGAAGTTTTATTACTTATGATTTAAATTTATTTTCCTTCTGAGTTCTATCAATAAAATAAGGACTAAGAAACTTATCACGTGTCTTGTAAAAAACCTATGGCTACTTCGTTGATTGTTCAATGTGCTGAATTGAATATGTGTTCAAGTGCAAGTTAGAAATATGGGGAAATAATGCTATTGCTCCAAGGAAAATTTATCTCAATAATAGTTTTTATGTAGAAAGAGAACATGGGATGGATGTCAATAATTTATATTTTAACATCTATTTATTAATAAAGGTAAATTTTTATGATGATATGAGTTTACAAGACAAGTCTATATCTCCCATACAAGTTTTCTGATACTGGCAAGTGTGACAACTTGCTGAAATAAAGGGAAGAGAGAAAAATCTGGCATAGGTTGAATTCAAATATCCTTTATCTTGGGATGAACTTAATTATATTAGTAGATGGGTAGTAATTCTGTAATGATATGTGTTTGTTTTAGCCAAAATAGAAGGGTATGAAGCTATGTCTAATAAATAAGAATTTGTGGAAATTCCCCTACAATCATTTAATCTGATTTCAAATTTGATTCTGTTCCAAGACAGTTTATTAATCATACATTTTTAGTAAACATTATTTGACTAGCCAATTGTAGTCTCTTGTTCTTTCTTGCCTTAATTGCATACCAAATCAACTCACTCAGTCATTCTTCATTATCCAACACTCACAAAATGGAGTATGGTTTTCTTGTATGCCAATCTTTTATGATTATGCATCTTGAAAAATATAAGAACATGATAAATATAAGAACATATTATATGAGCTTAGCAAGCATTGCATTATATGGGAACTTTTCTTTTCTAGTTCTAACTATCTTGAAACACTATACTTGCCAGGGTAACAATTTTTGATGAATTCTTAATGCTAATGGCAAAGCTTGACTTGACGGTAAGGTTTGCTCTGACATTATTCAGCTCTGCTTTTTCAGATATTTTGCTCATTAAGATAATGTTTCATTCTCTTTCTGCATGTATTATCACTACATTGGTGTGTCCTAGATGTCATTTTGTAATTTAAAATGAGTTTTATTTGGATAAAAGAAAGGGGACTAGCATCGCTGTATCTGCAAGAAGAGGAAAGTAGACAACAAAACTGATACTGCATAATTTTAGTCTTTATGAATTTCAATACTAAAAACACTTGTAACAGTACCCTCTGTGCGGCACTAAGGTTTAAAACTTTCCTATAATGGTATTGGCGTTTCTTTCTCTCTAAATACTTTGCCTACAGAAAGGATGGTACATCTTCACATGATTTTGCCTTCTCTCTTACTACTAATGTCTTAAGCTATAATGGCAGTCATTAACAGATCTTCAAGATTGGAAAGGTATACCCGCACCTCTCTAGAAAACAAAATCAGCTGATATCATGAAAGATAGGTGACAAAACAGTCGGAGGAGAATGATATTTTTCGTTGTTTTTTTAGATGATGTAAACATCTAGGAATAATGCTTTATGTGCGCCCAGCTTAGCTGCAAAGTTTAATAGAGTTAATATGTCAAGCACTCCAGAGCAGACTAAAGCTTCAGTTTTCGAACTGAGATCCTTTAATCTTCAAATTAACATATTAAGGTAATAGCAATGAAGACCAGGATAATGTATAGGCTATTTTTCTTTTCTGCCTGAAGCATGGATTATTAAGACTGCTTGTCTAACCTATATGGAAAATGTCCTATTTTGTAAGTAGAAAGATACACTGAACAAATAAAGAACTATAACAAGACTAGTTTAGTAGCCTCTCTTTTATCTTCTTCTGGTTTTGTTTGGTAACTTTAATTCTCTAATTCAGACATCGGCTTTGTAGGTGGATTTTTCAGAATTCTCTTGCTTCTATGATTTTGTTTTCTTCATGTGTCGAGAAAATGGTCAAAAGAATATTAGTAAGTGTTCAAGTTTATTTCACTCTGCTCAAATTTTTGTTAGTTTCACAAATTGGTGAATCAGTAAATATTATCCACCGGTTGTTGCATTTGTTTCTTCTTTTTTTTTCGGTTTTCATTTTCATTAACTTCATAATTTACAGCTGTGAGCAGGGCAATAACTGCCTGGAAATTGGTTCTAGCTGGGCGGTTTCCACTACTTAGCCAATGGTGTGACTTTGTTGAGGTACGTTAATGCTTATATGCTAAAAATTAATGTGTTCCATGTGTGCCTATTTATATGATGTAGTGTACTAGTTGTTTTCTTCTACCGTATCCAAAATGTTCCTTGATATTTTTTTTTAAATATTAACATGAAAAAGTAAAAGTAAGAAAAACTTTTGGTTGTTCAGGGCGCATAAGTTGTACGTGACAACCTTCTATTAGCAAAGTTGTTAGACTGCATGTTATTATCCCAAATCTAGATCACTTTGGTTGCATGTCTTTTGTTTAAATTAATAGACGTTGCCCAACTATTCTTGTTGGTGTCTTTAACATCATTACAAAGTCGTTCTCTTTGAGACTGAGGTTAATAGGGTAGTATTTCCAAACACCAGAGTGTTTTTGTGGCAGGAAAGAAAATTGTAGACATGGCTTTGGTGGTCAATGAAGCTTGGATGGTGTTAAACACCAGAAGGAGCAAATGATTGGTGTTCAATTTGGATTTGAGAAGGCCTATGATAGGTTTAGCTTCAGTTTCTCAAATAGGTCAAAATAAGATTGATGGTTGTCATTCTTTTCCAGCTGCTGTTACTGGTGAGCTGGAATATTGATTGTTGTTTGGTTGAAAGGGGTGGACTTTTCACATTTCCAGTTTACTTTATGGCGATATTCTTAGACTATGAGAAAACATGAATAACTTGTTCAATGCTTTGTCTTTCCTTCAGTTTCAGTTCTCTGAGGTGTTGTCAGCTCATGCATTGGCTATCGTGATCTTCTTGGAATCTTAATTATTAATCCATTTCGTGATGTTGTCCCAAGTGACCTTGTCTGCAAAATTTTGCTTCAGAGGAATCATTTAGGGTTATATTGAGTATGTGATGGATAATTTGGATGCCAATTGTTATGTTTGTTCTGGTTTGTGATCTTTCCTTTCCAGTAATTCTGGAGTAGTTCATATTGAAGACTGTTGCGTGCCAAACTTGATGTTTATATAATATGATGCCTTTATTGTCCCACTTGGTGAACATTCTTTTATGAACCACCAACTTTGTGATGAAGAATGTGGCTGTGCTATTTAACTTTTCTTTTGGAGAAACTGATCTATGGAATTCTATTTAGAAAAATCAACGGTACAACATCTCTGAAGATACCTGGCAACAACTGCTAGCTTTCAGCTTGTGTACCCAAGAAAATCTGGAAGGGTATGATCCTGAAGGTATTGTTATGATGTGCTTTATTGCATTTAGCTTCACATTCAGATTTATATACCTTACACTGCTCTTTCTGTGCAATGCATTTTCATTTTGTGACAATACTTGCACGGTTTATTAGTTCCTTTGTGCTTTTAATGAATAGTGTCTATGCTAATCTTTGTCTTATCTGCTTCATGACAACAAATAAATGCAGATACTGGCTAAATTGTGCAAGTCTCTTGTTTTAAAAAAAAAGGTGGTTAATGGGAATAACTGAATGCTAAGTATTTTTGGCTAAGTTGTTATGGTAGTCTCTACTTTTTCCTTCCCCTGCTTCATGTTTGTCTTCTGTTCTGGATAGTCAACATCACTGAAGTTCTCTGTCTTTTGCTATAAGTTTGCGATTCTGCTGCGTGCATAATTAAAAATTAATTTTTTTTATTTTAAAAAACTAAAACCATGACGGCGGCACAAAGTGACTGTATGGAGTGTGAATGTGTTACTTTTTTGTATTCAAGATCTGGATTCTGTACAAGTTGATAGCAGCAAGGACTGGGCAGTGAGGGTGATTATTTTGTCAAAATAAAATCTTCACATGCATTTCACCATAGAAAGAACTCTACCCAAGCAGATATTCTTTCATTTCCCCTTCCTACTGACACCTCTTTCTATCTTACTGTTAATTCATGCAAGTTGCGATGACCACCTCTTTCTATCTTACTGTTAATTCATACAAGTTGCGATGACCATTTTTATTTCATGCAGTGATGAAGATGCTTGTATCCGACTTGGTGACTCTGCATTAAAAAGGCTTTTTTTTTTTGGTTTTTTTTTTGGGGGGGGGGTTGGGTGGCTGCACAGACATGTTATTTTGATCACTGGTAAATGACCATTTCTTTTCTTTTCCTTACAGGTGCATGGCCTGTTCTAGTAGATGATTTTGTTGACCATATGTACAGGTTTGATTTTTCTTTTGGTCGCAAAGACATCATTAAATTCTTGATTTATTATTATTATTTTTTAAAGTGCAAAGTGAAAAATGTCTGATAAATTCTACTTTTTTAGAAAGATGGTATCATTCTAAGTTAATGTTTTGTCAATTGGTTACCACCTTAGTCTTGAAGATTTGTCCTTACACCCTCCATACTGCTGTCTAAGTGCCTGCGCCTGGGGTGGGGATGTGGTCACTGACCATAATTGAAGAACATTAAATTCTGCAAAATATTAATTTCTGACAGTGCTCCTCCGGGTGCATTTTGGACTGTCTAACCTTGTAATGCTGTCCTTTGGTGTCTTTGATACATTTGCACAATTCTTCTATTATATCACAATGCAGTTTCTTCTTTCCTAATCCTTTGGATTGATTGAATATTTTTTTGTTGTATTTTATTTTATTTTTAGTGGAAACTACTTCACTGTCAAATGAGAAATGATTTTCTGAAAATCTTTTATTGTTTGATTCAATTTGTATTTACACGAGACAGTGAACAATTTGTGACCGCAGTTATCACCCGGTATAATTAATTCTCACTGATCCACCATCCCTTGAAGGCATCTTTGCAATGCGACATTTTTATTTTTATTTTTTAAGTAACGATTATATTATAAATATATCATTGTGCAGGTCCTCAGGATCATCTTATGATAATTGCAACTTACAATGTAACTGCGGTGATCCGCAATCACAATCGTGTATTTTTGAAGACTTAGTTCCTGGTGGGTTGAATGAACTTGTGAGTATTTCTGATCTTATGAATTTGAGTCTGGGTGGCTCATAAACCAGTATCTGTATGGTTTTCTCACAGGAATGAGAAATTTATCTGGTTTAAAGAGGAAGGTATCGCATGGCATAGGGGAAGACGACATGGAGGCCATATATACTCCCATCTCTGTCGCAGCTGACTTGAGCCCCTCAAAAAGAAGCAGAGGGAATATTCAAGGTGCAATGAATTCGGAGGAAAATCCCGTGGGGGATGCTATAGAGGATTGTAATGGAATTGCCAGAAATAATAGCCCCTTGTGTTCATCAAAATCGCCATGTGCAGTTGAGCGCTGTCTTTCAAAGGGCTTTGCAGGGCTTCTCTCAACACGTTCCTTTGTGTAGTACTGTTAGTCTGGTCAGGAAAAGAGGGCGTTCTTTATATGAAGCACCAATTGTGGTTGAGGTATATAAAATATTCATACGCGAAATGATATAAGTTGTTTTTTTTTTCCCCTTTCGAATTATATTAATATGGCATGTAGCTGGTGTGTTTGATTGTCCCTTCAATCCCATTTGATAAAATCAATAAAAAGCTTTTACTTTCTTCTTTTTTTGAGTCTTTAATTCAAGTACATGTTTAATATGTTCGTTTTGCTCAGAATTTATGTTAAATCCTCTGTGGCCAACTAAGATTTGTATTCAATCTACACGATAAAAATTCAAATGCCCCTATGCGCGAAAGCTTAAGCGTCATTTTGTAATTTTATGAGAGAATATATCTGGCAACTGCTATTGCAGCGTAGTGTATTGCAATGTTCCCTGAATCTTGCTGAATTATAATCTGACTAGTTTGACAGTATTTTAAGCCTCACCATCCTGGTGTTAAGAAACCTGCGTCCACTGTCCACATCACTATACCTATTTCATGGAACTGGAAGGTTATTAAACTTCCACAAGTATTGGCCAAAATTCGAAGATGACTAAATCAAGATAAAATAATGAAAAATGAACTTGATGAAATCATTAAAAATGGGCATGAGACACAAAAGTGATATAAAGAACTGTGTTTCATTATCCGAGTTACAGCAGAAAATTTTGGCGTTCAGGAATAGCATCCTGAGGGCTATAACTGCAACTGATTGGAGAAATTCTTCAGAAATATGTACCTGGAAGCCTGGTCGGTTTCTTTGACAGAATCGCAACCCTAAAACCACTCAAGCATGATTGAACTCTTCATTGATTCCTAGCGCTAGATGGAGGATGCAAAAGATTCAAGTCACTGAAGGTTCACCATTGGTATTTGGCAGCAACAATGACTTCCTCATACTGCTGAGCAGCGTTGTCCCAGCTAAGATCTTGGGCCATCCCTCGTCTCTGAAGCCCTTCCCAGCTCTTTTTGTACTCCCTGTAGGTCAACAAGCAGTTCCCTAATGCATTTATCAACTTATTTGAATCTGCACTGTCAAATGTCCATCCAAGGCCTGTCTCTTTAAATGGATCAAAAGGCTGAACAGTATCTCTCAGTCCACCAACAGCATGCACTACAGGAACAGTTCCATAACTCATAGCATATAGCTGGTTCAACCCGCATGGCTCAAATCTTGAAGGCATGAGCAATATGTCTGCACCTGCAGTTATCCTGTGAGCCATCTTCACGGAAAAACCAACCCATCCCCTAATCTTGTCATGGTGCTGGCATTCAAATTGCCTAAGCATTTGTTCTAGGTCAGACCTCCCAGTGCCCAACATGATTAATTGAACATTTTGGCCCACCATCCAGGGAACTGCTTCAGCGATGACATCAACACCTTTCTGGTGATCTAATCTTCCAATGAAACAAATTAACGGGATATCCTCACGAACAGGCAAACCAAGCTCCTTTTGCAGGGCAGCTTTGCACTGAGACTTGCCAGGCTGCAGCGTCTCAAGGGAGTAGTTAGTGTAGCCATCGGATTTCAGATGAACATCAAACTGAGGGTTCCAATCTTTGTTATCAATACCATTCACTATACCTTTCAACTTCCAGTCATTCTCATTTATGATTCCATTCAAACCCCAACCACCTTCAGAAGTTTTAAGCTCCCATGCATATCCATGACTAACAGTAACCACACGGTCAGCAGTCGTTAAACCAGCTGCAAAGATATTGGAGTGATCACCTCCAACGGGATCGTATAATTTGAAGAGGTCTATGTAGTGTTCAGGTAAATCCATATATGAGAAATCATCAACTGGACCACGGCCCTGCACAGAAAATAGTTGTGTGAATACTCCTTTACAACCGAGAGAAGGCCATTAAAACTCTGATCAATGAGATTTTAAAATAAGATTGAGTCTGCCTCCACTGACAGGAGTCTCGACAGAGATTTGCTTTAAAACTCAAAAGTATTACGATAAAATAAATTCTGATGAGTAAAATTGTTTGATTTCTGCTAAACATTTGCAGTAATGAGAGCGGAGCCCTTTTCTTGATCGTTACATTCTAAGGTTTGAGAAGGATATTCTAGCATCCACTTTCAATAGCCTCGTGATGCTAAAGATACTCAGGATGATTATGGGTGATTTTGTCTGGCGCAAAATGAAAACTAATTAGCAGCAGGACATTGCATACTCAATGCTCAATTATGGGACCTTTATCATCAGATGAAGGGGATACATTCAAACATTTGGCAATTCCCTCCAGTCAATCACAATAATTTGAATCACAGTTATAAGATTTGAGGTTGGAGCAACATTTCGGAGCATAGATGAACTTTCTCACAAGTGCAATAATCAATTTTTATCCTTGTTTGCCAATGTTTTATTTCCCGATAATCCTAATTCTGGGGTTTAGGGGTGCATAGATTGGATTGAGTGGCAGATCTGCTGCAATTTCTCCCTTTCATGTACTCGTGCCTTCTACCAAAAATTAGCAAGCAATTAGAGGACGGTTAACTCCGATTTTCTTCATGACCTATCGAGATTAGCCATAGACCTGAATGTAAAGATTATTGATGGCCCACATCCTAGCATTTTTTTTCCATTTTTTTATTTGCACAATTACAAGCTTGTATTTGACCTTGAGATAAAAGGTGGCCTCGGAATGCTGATCAATGTTAGATATATCAAAGACAAGATTTTGTTATGTCTATCTATCCACTTTTTTTTTTTTTTTTTACTTCCATGATTTACGCTAAGGAAGCTCACAACATATACTCTACTGAGAAAATTAATAATATAAGTCTCTATACATGTCATAGAAATTACCAAGTATGTCTATCTAGTTCAATTAAAAAAGTACACCAGATGTGCTGGATAAAATTATAAAACTCTAGTTGCTCTCTTCTTCACTGCATAAAACAAACAAAAACAATATTAAAATCATTAACAAGACAGAAAGGTCACCTGGTGAGCTATGTTATGAATCACAAGAACAGATCTTGTATACTTCATCAAACCAAGGTCACGATAATATGCCTTAAGATAAACTGGCAGCAAAGCAGTATGCCAATCATTTGCTATGAAGACCAAATTTCCATCTCCATAACAAACACCACCGCATGGAACATACCAAGGAACCTGAAAATTATTTACTGTCATCACTCTAGTCATCAGTATGAAAAGTCAACTGATATATAATTTGATAAGAAATTATCTAATATTAGCTTTGACTTTTGCTAAGTGTAATTTTGACAAACCACTTAAACCATTCTGATCCGTGAGAAAATCCAGTTAACATAATTTTTAAGATGCATCCATCTTTGCAGGCGGGATCATTTTCCTTCAACAAATGCTTACCTTAAGCATTTGCTTGGGGACCAGATCATAGTGCTCCTGATGAAGGTACATCATATATTTCCAGAATTTTCAGTGTTGACATTCATATGAAATCAATGGTAAGTTCAATGGGCCAGAGAAACAGTTTCTAGCAAATTTGTGCGTAACATATCCTTCTGGGGATAATAGAATAGTCAAGGCAGTAGTCAAAATTAAGATGGAAAGAATAAATGTTGTAGTTATTGGAAGTTTAACATGACAGGGCATGCATTATGACATGTTAAGTGTCACCGAACAACTAATTTATTAGAGCCAAATATTATTTCATATATTTCCCATTGTAATGTAGAGTTATGAGATCAGGACAGACTATTTATGATCCACAATCTGAATATCCAAGTTTGTTTGTTTTTTTTTTAACAGACGTGAAGTATTACACATAATTCACTATGAGACACATTAGATACAATAAGTGTTATAACTAAGTGACCCGTTTATGATTGATTTAATCATATAGCCACTGATTTCATGTACCTCAACTGCTGCCTTGCAAAACAGCACCATGCGTTTTAGAACATCCTGTTCCATTAAAGGACAATAGTCAAAAGAAATGCTAAGTGCGCAAAAAATTACAATGGGGTAACTGAGCAGTTATCAATTTACGAATGCAATGAGTTACTGGGAGAACAAAAGATTAGAATAGCATAGTATTCTGGTTATCCCTGTCAGAATCAATAAAAGAGAACACGCAGTTCAGAAAGGGAGAAGATGATCAGTTAACTTATAAAATATGACAAACCAAAAAGTTTCTTAATTATAGATCCACAACATAGAAAAAAATATGTTTGTTACATTACCAATCGGTTTCCTCCGTAGATATTATTCTCTATATGGCGAAACATAGGACTGTCAATAAACACAAAGTCTACACCATCAACATATGTCTGGAAATATCTTACTTCTACATCCTGAAAGTGAACATGTTGGAAGGTCAAGTCACCATCAATTTTAATGTAATTTTTTATTAAAAATAGGGAGAATTACATTTAGGTCCCTCACAATATAATTAAATACCACAAGGTTCATTGACAACTAAAATGGTTGTCATTCTTTTATGCTCAATTATCAATGGACTTCATAGTATTTAAGAGAAATTTTTAAATAGACCCGGTGTGCCAAGTCATCTATAGTCCATCTAATAAAATTGCACCAATTCAATTAATCTTATGTGTCATTATTTTGAATAGTTTTTTGTAATAGAATGCCTATTTAATTTTTTTTCCTTTATCTCTCTCTTATAATTAATGTCATAATTAATTTATACTTAATGCCATTTGAATATTATGTTTTTATTGGATGGACCATAGATGATGTGATACACCGGATCCATTTAAGAATTTCTAAGTATTTAATTGTGTTGCGGGAAACTTGAGTGTAGTTCTCCCTAAAAAAATATGATACGTACCTGGCCATCTACTTTGTACCTTCTGATTACTCCTGTATCTTGGGCTTCAGCATAATTACCATAACGAGGAACCACAACCTAAGAGGGAGACCAGAGATGTGGATCAAGAAATGAGAAAATGGACATACACAATAGTAAAGCATTATTTTTCTGATAATATGAGCCATTAAATATTATCATGCATTGATAATTTGATCTGTTATATGGTACTCAAAACATTGGATAGAGACAAAAATAATTCTAAAGTTAACATAAAACCCCAAGCTTCTATAAGAAAAGAGATACTGATATCAAATTTCAGCATTATAACGTGTTTTGGGAAGATGAAATAACGAAAGATGAAATCAGCAATAAACATCAAAAAGATGTAAGAAGAATATGCTCCACCATCCATTTGACAAGTAATTACAAAGTTTACAAGGTTCAACATTGAGCTAGCATATAAACTCTCATCCCTTGACACGATTTAAAAAAAAAAAAAACAGTTCATTAGGTAAAGGAATAAATAATTACCATGACTCTGTGCCCACGCCGTGCCAAAGCTTTTGGTAATGACCCAGCAACATCTCCAAGCCCACCTATGATTTCATGCGCAAGTCTTAAGATTGCTTTTTTTTTTTTTGGGTTGTTGGGGGGTGGGGTGGGGGAGCAGATACAGAAGGGAAATAAGACTTAAGACATAACAAATGATTTGCAACAGAGTTCCAGGGATTCATTTGATTGTAGAAGTAGCAGCCGCCTGTGACATGCATACGCCTGGTTATACAGCCATATTAGGCTACTGTAGTAGCATGGATTTGCAGTGACAAATATATGAAGTCTAAATGAAAAATCTCACAGTATCTGTTTTCCTTTTGTTTATACTTCAAATTCTCAAACACCCCAGAAAAACATGAAGGTTTAAAAAGATTACAATTAACACGTAGATTTTCCAAATCTTTATTTTCCCCTTTCTCTAGTAATTGAATAGGTTGGCTGGAAATTTGACTTACAATTTTCAACTAACTCCGTGGGTTTAGCCCATATGGCAATTAAACAATTAACTTCATTCTTACACGTGACTTTCAATCAAGCAATGTAAAGCTCAGAAATTCCAACAAGGAAAACCTTCTCTAGACATGATGAAAGATGGAATACCTGTTTTTGACCAGGGAAAGCATTCTGCTGCTACCAATATGACATTCATGACGTTGGCCCCAGCCAAAGGTATAGATTTTTCACCTTCACTCTCAACAATGTCAGCTTCAGTAGTGGCCCTTTGTAAACTTGGCTCCGTCAAGCCATCCTGATTTTTGACTTTCAAAGGGGAAGTTCCAGTGCTATTTGCAAGATAGGTTGGCAGGGTATCTGGAGTAACTGTCTCATATTTACCATCTTTCAATTTTTCATTAACACGTAACTTGGAGGGAGCCTTTTCAGGAGGTGAGATGTTATCCTTTTCCTCCTGACCTTTATCAAAACCTTGATAAATGCCTACAGCTGAGGCTTCTGGTAACTCCTCTTCACTTGAATGGATATAATTGCTTGAAGGCATACCACCATTTTGGTATTCAACAGCCTTGTCTCTGCTGACAAGAGCTTTTTGAGGATTTGAGTTATTTGACAGAGAATTGTCATCAGTAAGTTCATAAGAAATATTGCCATCCTTTCGTGGTTCAAAAATGTTTTCCTTGTTCATAGAAGAAAACAGTTTCTTTCTCTCAGCAATCTGTAATGGACAAGAAAGGCCAAATAAGATCATCATAACAGTGCTTAGAGTGAGAGAGAGAGAGAGAGAGATAGAGAGATCAAAGAAAGCTGACACAGAAATAGAGCTGTAACTTGCATTAACTGCATAAACATAATGAAGAAACTTCATAACTTCTTAGTCTGGTAAAAGAATCCCCAAATTGACCTTATAAATCAAGTTCAGATCAGTGATTCATATCATGTAACCAGTCTACATCATGGCCCATTTTGATTGCATAATTATGATACAATGAATGCATCGCTGTTCAATGACGACCGTAAAAACCGGATGAACAGAAAAATGCCGCAGCTACAGCATGAAAGTAATTTGCCCGAGACTTAGCAAACAACATTCGATTACAGAGTGATGCATATTAGCGATCGCTTAACTTCCCCAAGGAAATGTGTTCATCATTAAACAGTTTGATTTCGTGTATATTAACAAACCGATCAACATACTGCTCGGGCTAAATCATTCAGCCTATCTGAAGAAATTAACACACATGCAAAACACATTGTAGTGCGTAGGTAGAACAATACCCGCTGAAGAAGATCCCTCTGCATAGCAAGAACCTTCTTGCTCTTTTCAATGGTGCTCAGAAGCACTTCATCTGTCCCTCCGTCGTCCTGACTCGTTCCTGTACTCTTCCCTATAGCCCGTACGTCTTTCGTCCGCCATAGCAGACCCCTACTGCGCCCATTGACCAGCCTTCCATAGTTCAGTCTTGCACTCTCCGAACGCCCAAAACCCGAAGCACTTGAGTTGCTGAATTCAGCAGACTTGCCGGGCCGATAAACGAATAATGGAAATTTAAGAGGACGATTAATTTTAGTTTGAAGTAGCATGGAAGTGTTGGCACTAGGTTCAACAACAAATGGGAATGACCCAACGGATGATGCCATGGAGCCGGAGTTGGGCGAATCACCCAGAGTCGGCGAGCTCAGCAGAAGCAGTCGTTGGAACTGAGAAATGAAAGAGACCCCAAGCGAAGATGGAGTTGAGGAATTTTGGTAGTGGAGAAGGAGTAGGTGTATGGATTATAGAAAGAAGAAATACGAGGAGAGGGCGTGGGCGGGACCCACGGAAGGAAAAATCATGGAGGGGTTTGAGGTGGAAAATGGGAAAACGAGAGAGGACAGATTTAGCCGGCCACGGCGAAATTGGGAAGAGGCCTGCATCCACCGTGAGAGTATGGACGGGCATGAATTGGATTGAGCACATGACGGGAATGAACGGGTCGGGACCACACTGGTGTGTGCGTGTCTTAAATTTCCCCCTTTCTATGATCTCTCTTTTGGACTTTTAGGCATGCAAATTGCAAAGCTTATCCCCATCCTTTGTCAACTTCTCTTAGCTCCCCAATAAAACGACCACTATTTCGTGGGCAGTGTCACCAGTCACCACGAATGTTGTTTCAATGAGTTTTCTTTTTAATTTTTGCTTAGCGTTCGAGTGAGTTTTTAGGGCACGTGAGCAGGTGCTTTGAGCCGTTTCACCGAATCCAAAGTACAAAAGGCAAAGGAAGAGGAGTTGAATGCAAAAGTCCCCTCCCCAATTGCTACAGTCAAAAGCCTCCGTACAAAGGTCTCCTCTGAGGCTCTGACACTTGGCCCCGGGGTTTCCTCTCCTCGTATTCCCGAAAACAGGATCAGCCTTTGGCAAATAAAATTAAAGAAAATGCACTCTCTTTGTGTATATTTTATACGAGTACTACATATGTTATAACGCAGCGTCCATTACTCCTGTAGTTTTCAGTTTAGAATATGCCCCTTCTTCGTTTCAACTAAATTAACGCTTCATTTTAGTTATTAACGAGTGCATCCTCGATCAAAATTACAACACTGCCACTCCAAACAACCGTCAAAAAAAAAAATCTCCAGGTTAACATTAAACACCCGCTCCATGTTCCTCCACGTGTGTGGTCCTCAGTGTGTCAATCAATGTCAACTACACATGCATGATTTTCCACTTCCAACACTGGAAAACTCTAAAACGGGACAAAAGCAGGGGAAAGTACGAATCTAGACCCTTCTTGAACTGCACCAAAAACAAAGCACTAGAAGCCTCCTGTCCTATTCCTCTTGTACTATATTATAACCAAACTCTCTCCTTTCTTGCATGACAATTTTCGCTCCGCTTCTAATACTCAAATCTCGCACTTTGAGAAAACTCTAATGTCGTCCTCTCTCTCTCTCCCTATTGCACCCCCTCTAATCTGCAAGTCTCGAGACTCGTCGAAGGATCATCATGCTTATGCCTGCATCCCAAAATGGAATAACAAAGAGAGTCCACATTCACAAGCTGGAATTTTAGACCTGAAACTTAGCAGGAGAAAGCTTCTGCTTTACACTAGTGCTCTGGGACTGTGCAAGCCTGCAAGGGCAGAGCCAGAGAGCCCAAACGCTTCCAGTTCAAGCAGAATGACATACTCCAGATTCTTGAAGTACTTGGACGAAGATGATGTGAGGAAGGTGGACCTCTTCGAAAACGGCACGGTGGCGATCGCCGAGATATACAATGCAGGCTTGGACAAAATTCAGAGAGTGAAAGTCCAGTTGCCGGCCGGTGGACCGCCTGTGGAGTTACTGAGAAAAATGGAAGAGAGGAACGTGGACTTGGCGGCTCATCCCGTGGAACTGAATTGGTGGCCGGCGGCACTTGATTTGTTATCCAACTTTGGATTTCCTTTGATATTGCTCGCATCCCTGTTCTTCAGGACATCAACCAATAATCCTGCAGGCCCCAACTTGCCCTTTGGACTTTCAAGGTATTACCTACATTCTACATTCTACCACGGAACGTAAGGAACATGTAATGAATAAAAATATTATTCTAAATGAGGGGAACGTGGGAATTTAATTGGTTGTAGATTACGTGCAGGAGCAAAGCAAAATTTGAGATGGAACCAAACACGGGGGTAACATTTGATGACGTAGCTGGGATTGATGAAGCTAAACAAGACTTTCAAGAGATCGTCGAGTTTCTAAAAACGCCAGAGAAGTTTTCTGCGGTTGGTGCAAAGATTCCAAAAGGGGTCCTCCTAGTGGGGCCGCCTGGGACGGGGAAGACATTGTTGGCTAAGGCCATAGCAGGCGAAGCTGGAGTGCCTTTCTTCTCTGTATCAGGCTCAGAGTTCATTGAGGTGTTTGTGGGGATTGGGGCTTCACGGGTCAGAGATTTGTTCAACAAGGCAAAAGCCAATTCTCCTTGTTTGTTGTTCATTGATGAGATTGATGCTGTGGGGAGGCAGAGAGGCACAGGCATTGGAGGCGGCAACGATGAAAGAGAACAAACACTTAACCAGTTGCTCACTGAAATGGATGGCTTCACTGGCAACACTGGGGTCATAGTTATCGCTGCTACCAATCGACCTGAAATTCTCGATTCTGCATTGCTCAGACCTGGCAGGTTTGACAGGCAGGTATGTTTCTTTAGTTACGTATTGAATTGAGGTCCAGTACTTTGATTGCATTTGTTTGCACTCCTTGTTTGTAAGCACTAAAGGGGGGAAAAACCTTTCTTTTATATTTGACTTAATTATACAGAATGTGGGAGGCTCATGCAAGATTAAGTATATGTCAGCAAAAAGGTTAAAAGAGTTAAATTCTTGTCAGCAAAATTAACTCCTTCGGTGGTGACAGCTCATGATCCTTGTGATTACATGGACTAATAGCGTTGCACAGGAAAAGGCTAGGAACAACGAAATAAAATTGTAGGGACTAAAAATGACCTGCTAGTGTATCATTCCCAGTTTAATATTTTGAATGATTTTGGGAGCGGTGGAATAGGTGAGCGTTGGATTGCCAGATATAAGAGGGAGGGAAGAAATATTGGAAGTTCACAGCAACAACAAGAAGCTAGACACGGACGTGAGTCTCAGTGTGATTGCGATGCGTACTCCAGGGTTCAGTGGTGCAGACTTGGCAAACCTGATGAACGAAGCTGCCATTCTTGCTGGAAGGAGGGGCAAGCAAAAGATCAGCATGAAGGAGATTGATGACTCCATAGACCGTATTGTGGCTGGCATGGAAGGAACCAAGATGACTGACGGCAAGAACAAGATTCTCGTGGCTTACCACGAAGTTGGTCACGCTCTCTGTGCGTAAGTGCATAAATCAAATCAAATTCCATCCTTATCGTCTCCAACAAGAGAATGAATACTCATCACGATTCACGAGCCTATATTATAATGTACAGGACATTGACACAAGGTCATGACCCGGTGCAAAAGGTGACTTTGATTCCAAGAGGACAAGCCAGAGGGTTAACGTGGTACATGCCAGGTGAAGATCCAGCTCTGATCTCTAAGCAACAATTGCTGGCAAGAATAGTTGCAGGCCTAGCAGGTAGAGCAGCAGAGGAAGTCATATTTGGTGAATCAGAAGTGACCACGGGTGCGGCTGGGGACTTGCAACAAGTCACCCAAATAGCAAGACGGATGGTGACAACGTATGGGATGTCAGAGATAGGACCGTGGGCTTTGACTGATCCTGCAGTGAGAAGTGGTGACGTGGTGCTGAGGATGATGGCTAGGAACTCAATGTCAGAGAAATTAGCAGAGGACATTGATGGCTGTGTGAAGCAGATAATAGAGACAGCGTATGAGATTGCTAAGGATCACATAAGGAAGAACCGTGAGGCCATTGATGAATTAGTGGATGTGCTGATGGAGAAGGAGACTCTCGCGGGTGACGAATTCAGGGCCATCTTATCTGAATTTACAAACCTTCCTTCCCTTCACATAGATAAAACCCCTTTCCGCCAAATGATTGGAGCTTAAACTTGAGTGTATAAGGATTTAGATTTTATATATTTATGTCGTTGAAATTTAAATTAATAGTGTTAAATTTATATTTCATTAAAAATTAATGAATGAATAAATTTATATTAATCACTGATATGAATTTTAACAATTTAGATGATATAAATACTTAATATCTATAGTTATTAAATTCAAATATGGAGTTTATAACTTGCTTATACATGTGCAATCGTCAAAACATAATAGACACGAACACAGAATTCGACATCAAGTTTTTTGTAGCTAGAAACATGGATTACGCATACATGTGCATTCTGCCTCTATAGAGATGTAGAGTCTTGAATCTCATCATAATGTAACAATGTATTGTGTTCAAAACAAAATCATTAAATTATAAAATCTATTAAGTTTACTTGTAAGTTATTTCAAAACTGATATAATTAACTGTTAAAAAAGATGAAATCACACGTAAGTCTAAAATAAGGTCGTGTATCAAAAAACCACGCGATTGCATCATAACTCCAAACTTATTCAATTGTAAATTACAATATTTCAATTGTAAATTCATGAGAACTGCTTGTGCATATGAAAGAATAATGACATTTTTTAGCTTGTTTACAAAAGGTACTCAGAATTTCCAACAGGAAGGGTGTCCTATACTCATGAGAGTATTTTTTTTATACTCCCTCCTTTAAAAAAAATACAAAACTTTTTTTTTTCAAAAATAATCCTAATAAATAAATCACTTTATATTTATTTTAAAATAAAACACTTTAATAAATAAGAGTATATATAAAAATATAATGTTAATTTAAAAATAATCAACTACTTTGTTAGGGTAAAATTTAATTTATAATACTTTATATTTTTAAATAAAAGGAGAATATCATAAATTATAAGATATAAATTATGAAATACAAGAATTGAAACCACAAAAATTAAACTTATTGATAGCCAAGTAAGTAGTAATTCAGCATCAATTTAATATCAAAGGGATCAAAGGGATTATCACGTGGATCATTTAATTTCGATTCCTTCCAAACATGAAAAATGAGTAATTCACAAGGCATATTGCATTAAATTTTAGGTCAACTTCACCATGGCAAAACAGAGTGGCACTATTGACATGGCAATTACGAGATTCTGTGTGTAATACATAGACTAATTTGAAATGCTGGCGGATGCACATGTCCATTTTTATTATGAGCTGTCAGCAACATAGCAAAAGCAGCATGAAGCATCCAAAACAAGCAACTGAGAAATCAAAGCGACAGCTGTGGCCGTGCATCAATTTAAAAAGACGAGATTCCGATCATGGCATCATGGAAAGCATGTCTCTCTCTCTCTCTCTCTCTCTCTCCCTCTCTCTACCCTTTCGGCGGCCACTGATTGCTCGTCACCTTGTATACATTTTGAGTTCGCCGGTCAATTAAAGAGACAACTCAATGATTCCTTTATGACTAAACACAAATGAATGAATACAAGTCTACCTTCGGACCCCAAAAAAAAAAACATACAAGTCTCCCTATTTGTTTTTTTTTTTAATCAACATACAAGTCTCCCTATATTCAGATATATTTCCAATAATTCCCGAGTCCCCTTTATATCTACAATCCTCCAGCTTTTGAGCCTTTTCTCTACCCTTTTAAAGAACCAAAATAAGGGATTTAAATTGCAAAAGTCAGCCGATCAAACTTGTAGAGAAACCCTTGTCTTTATAGGCTTTAGTTTCAATCCCATGCTTTCTGGAGAAAGAAGCTGTGGCGAAATGCATGACGGGCTGAGCGGACTCCGAGGGCTCCCGCTGACCTGGCACGGCCTATACAACCCATACCCCATGAAAAAGTACTCCAAGGGAATCAGCATCGCATGTGGCTGTTCCTCTGTCACCATTGAACCACAAGCTTGGACCTGCAGAATCAACCAAAGTCTCAAACCAAATACTATCAAATTTCACGTACTAACCTAGGCCGGGCCATGCTGCCTTGTATTATCTTTCTCTCTCTCACACAGTTTTTTAGTCATCCAACTGTTGCAGTTATAAACAAGCAATTGTCTTGAAATAAGGCTGTTCATAAGTATGTTAACCCATTAAGCAACTTCTAAACCTGATTAGAGAAGTTTATACATGTCATGTACATCCTTGCACATTACTTTACACCTCATACCTCCACTAGGGCACTGTATCTCCTATCGAGTTTTGAGGTCATGTACAGAGCCTCAGAATGAAAAGGAGAGCTATCCCCGACAAAAATAAGTGTACGGCATCTTAGCCCCTTCAGTCCTTTTGTAATGTCAGGCCTCCTGCAAAGTGAAGAAACAAAGTGGAAACACATAAATATGCCAACTCACTAAGAGGACAAGACACAAACAAACAAATTTGAAGTTAATGAAGCAATTCTTCAGCATAAATTACCCATTAATTGCATGAAGAAACCGCAAGACATTAGTGCTCTTTCTCTCATCCAGCAACTAAAAACAAAGCATCAAAAGTATTCAAAACCAAAACGATGTGAGGCTAGTCCTCCTGCCCCCCCTTTTTAAAAATAAAAGTGGAGAGAGGAAAAGCAATCAGATATCAGCGACAGGGCATATAGAGCAAATAAAGAATTAGCTTATTACTGACTTTTCTGCAAGCTTGAACGATCTCTGATTCTGGAATTTCAGCATTACCACGGACTTCCTGTAAGTCCCCAAAGAAAAGCACATCAAGTATTGAATAAAATACAAAATGATGGGGAAAGAGAAAGACTTGAAAAAGGGCTAAAATTCTGGGAACACAATACCTTGCTAAAGTACCGCTGGAGCAAACACTCCTTCAGCAAACTACACATGCCATAGAAATATAGCAAATTCGATATGACCTAAAATTACATTTGATATTAGGTGCCGTAACTAAATTTTAAAACACACGAAAAGGTCAGAAGGTCTAGAAAAGGAACCTTGTTGTAAAACCATTCAGTCCAAGAAGGCGCTTTGCACAAAGGAGATACAAGTATTAAACCAAGAACACGTTCCCTGTACTTCATCTGTAATAAATTATCAAAGAACAAATCTATTAAACAAGATTTACTTCATATAGAAACCTCCATTCATCATTTACATAAGGTACATACTGCAAATAGAGTAAGGATATATGCACCAGCCGTTACCCCCATGCACATCACTGCACCGAGCCTGAACAAGGAAATAGGTTGTAGCATTAGTAAATTAGTAATTATTAGTAATTAGTAAATAGTTAAATACAGGGAAACACTCTATTTGAATCAATATATGTCAGCTGCCCTTCTCCCTCTTGATCTAAGGGCCACTGACAAGCTGAGAGAAGTACAGTTAGAGATTGCTTTTCATATTATTTGAGTACAAGAACAAGAAGCTTTATTTGAGTGTTCAAAACAAATGGAAGTGTTCTTACTTACAAAAACATCCAGTTTAAATTTAAGCAACTGTATGATCATCGTATTGTAATTACCCAAAATAGTTGAGAATCTCAACAATTTGATCAACTAAGTCATCTGCAGAAGGCACTGGATCATCAGGACAAATTGCTGCAGCTCCCAACTGCAAGAACTCTTGTGGAAGTTCCAGAGGAGGCATTATGTAAATAATACTATTCAGTCAAGAATGCAATAAATAACACATTCAAATCAATCAACTTACAGACCTCATGCCCTGGAGGACTTATATGATATATGCAGAAGTTATGAAGCAACAAAGAAGCTGCCTCAGGGCAGAAAAACAATCCTTGGAAACATGACATATCTGCCCCAAGACAAAGACAATTAAAAATTTTCAGATTAAAACAAGAGAAAAACATGCACATATGAAATTGTTAATGTAACATAAGAACAATATAAACAAGTTTTAGAACATCGCAAGGAATAAAAGCTGAATGTTGACATTTCAGAAAAAGAAGCAATGAAAATGAGAAAATAGCACTTACGATTTAGTGCTAAATCTGGATAAGTGATGAGAGCTGGCTTGTCCCAATCCCCATAGACAATGACAGACACAGAGCCACAACCAGTTTGAATATGATGTTCCTGAAGTAAGAAAATACAAAAACAAGTGTAACACAAACAAAGCCAAAATCGAGAGAGAGAGAGGGCAGAGAAGTCAAAGCTTTAACTTTGGAAATGAAAAGGAACCTTCCCCTCAAGAAAATCATAATATATAATTCTTATGCAGTCCATGATAAAGAATTTTGTAATCATGTCTGGTTTGGTTGGAAGGTCAACCTCAAATCAAACTAACCAAACTGGCAAACTGGATCAAACTGGTTTAATTTGGTTCCAATCCCAAAAAAAATATTTACATAGATTATTTGATGTTTTGGGGGATGAAACTGAACCATGTGAAGTGAAAAGATATCATGTATAAATATAAATGCTAAAACACAGCCACATATTTGTCTTAAAATGTAAAGCAGGAACTGTTATTAAATCTACCGTCACTATTAGACATTGCAAAGGTCGGAGACTTTTAGCAATGTACTTCTGTTAATACAATTTCTGTGATTTTGATTGTTACTATTGGAGACTGCCTTTCGAATTTGGTTATCCAAGAATTAACAAGGCGGCATTGGAGGACTTGAAACATTATGAATTTCAGTTTGGAACCAAACTAAACTGAGAAAGGTGGTTGATCTCTGGTGGTTTCATTAGGATCTTTGGTTTGGTTTCAAATATCTTTGAAATGGGAAAAAAAAAAAAAAAACCTTCAATTTGATTAATGGAGTAACACTTATAATTCCAACTTGTGCAAAAGACTATGTATTCCCTGACATGCTCCCCGTTTGCCCCTACTCCTTTTGAACAACTCAAACTTACAAGTGACAGCATGCTAATATCACTTTTGGAAAAGAAAAAAGAAAAAGTGCTACCAGATTCCAATCAATATATCCTCTGGAAAGAAAACAAGAACAGGGATATGAACAAAAGGCATGGAATCACATATTCATAAAAGGAGTAGAATGACTTATCTGATCTAATAACCAATATGTAACATGTAAATAAATTTGATGCGTTTACAATACTCGGTGGTACATTGATGAGATATAGAGGAAGATATACAAAAAAAGATATAGTAAGGTTTGTATTGTATGCTTGCCATACATTAAGTAAAGGATCCAATTCCTTTAAAATCAAGAGTGCCAAATGTGAAACAGAATGATAGGCCTCCCCTGAAAACACAAAAAAGAGAGCAGGCAGAAGAAAAAAGAGGAAGAAACTCAAAACAAAAACATAAGTGGTAGGAGGGGGTAGTTAAAAATCCTCCATCACTCAAAATGCATATAATTTTACACACAACAAATTCAGATCTTCCAAGATCCACATAAAAATATTTCTTTTTCTAAAAAAGGTCCCAGAGACAACATAAGATGACTGGAAATCAACCTGAACAAAAGATGTCCATGAAATTGTAAATACCTGTTATATGAAAGTAATAAACTTCAAAAAATAACAGGACGAATCATGGAAAGAACCCAAAAACCAACAATATTTGGTTGACAGAAGGACAAAGAGGAGGTAATAAATAATGTGCAGATCCATATATTGCTATGTCCAAAGATTCACAATACGAAAGGCTTGGCTGGGGAAATAAATGAAAAGGAAGAACAGAAAGAAAGGAACTGAGCAAATAAATCCACCTCAAAATTAGTTTTTAATTATTTCTCCACAAAGGAATACGCAAGTGAAACGGTTACTGCTCTTGTTCCACCCCCAAATTCGATCCCAATACAAGATATATAATCATGAATATTCAGTAATGCAAAATGGCAATGAGGCAAACTGTTGACTTCCAATTAAGTTTACAACATATATTGTCCAACAAATTCACATGGTTCTATCCGAAAATTAAAATGCAGCTCAAAAAATTGCTACTGAAATTGATCCATTTTTAAGCTTCATCCTTCAAACCCAAACCATAAGAGCAACGAAACGATCGTAAAGGGAAGCAAGAGGGGAACCTTTCCGCCGAGATAGATCTTCTCCATATCAACCGAAACGGAATCATTTGCCTCTGCCATGGCCGAAGCTCTGTGTGTCCGGAAGCTCCCAAACCTCTCTCCCTCTCTCTCCCTCTCTCTCCCCCCTCTCTCCCTTCTCTACCCTCTCTCTTCCTTGCTCCCCCGTTGCGCCAGGTTGAAGAAATATAGGCCCCTGGTATAATGGCTTATATACAAAGCGATTATTTCTCGCTTTCCTTTGAACTTCTCTCGCTCTTTTCTAGTCTTGTGTAATTTTTTTCAAAAAGATGGAGAAATCAGCAAACAACTGGATAATTATAATTTTAATCGACCAATGTCGAAATACACACCAATTTATCATGTAATCACTAATCAGTATGGGATCCTTACATTAGTCTAAAGTAACTTAGAGTGCTACTTGTAATTGTAATATGCAAATGGGTTGCCTTCCTAAATTTTTTATATTTTATATATTAGTGAATTATTATAAAATGTAAATATTATATTATATAAAGTTTTAAAAAAATAAGCCCATTCATAATTTGTAAATAGCATGATTTACTAGATATATTATGTTTTTTAGTGCTTTAGGAATGATACTAATACTAATAAAAAAGCATATAAATTTACTTTAAATAAATATCTTTTTTTGCCAACAAGTTTTAAATCAATATCTACATAGGTAAGATAATAAAATAAGCAATGTTTTTATAATAAACCATTCAATATTTAGTACTACTTCCTCCCTTCTAAATTATAAAATACTTTTAAATAAATTTTCACATACCAATAAAATTAATTAAATACACTTTATAACCTTACTTTTTTAAGACAAAAATATAAATTTTTAAAAATACCTTTCATTTAATGCTCCATTAATAAACGAATATTGAAGAGAGAGAATACATTAGAAAAATACTATTGAAAAAATATCATTAATGAAACTTTATTTTTATCAAAGTATCTTATATTTTAAAATATTAAATCTTCTCTAAAAATATTTTATAATTTGGGTCAGAGAGAGCATGAGCATTAACTAATTCATGCCATTTGCTGAAAACTGCATGCACCATCACTAAAATTGCAAACATCATCAATATCATGGATACTAAATATGAAATTTATTAAAAACCACTTTATTCATTTAAAAAAAAGTATAAATAATATGTCTTCTTTTTTATGCAATTCATTTTTTTTATTTTTTTTAAAAAAATTTCACATATTTCATCAGCATAACTTTTTTTATTCATTCAATTTTGTTTACGCATTTCAATGGATTTTAAATATAAGAAGAAATTGATATGACCAAATTAAATTATAATTCTTTTCATGGGAAAACATATCCAATTTTATCAATTTTGCTTTGCACTTGTGTATAGTGTTCAAATCGATGTTATTTGTTTTTTAAAGTTTATATTTTTATAATAAAGTTGAATATATTTTTATAAATGATTGTAAAAAAAAAAAAAGGTAGAGTTTAGCATAGTTTAAATAAATAAAATTTTGGCAAGTGGCATCCAACCTGCCACTTTGGTCAGATTTTAAACGCGGCCAGCGACGTCGTTTGATAATTGCAATGGGGATCACGCTATCATTGATATTAGTTTGACTAAGACTGTATTGGTATTTCATGAAACGTGTACACGTGTCATTGGCAATCAATGTGACCTTCTTTTTTCCCTTGCTTTTTTCTTTTTTGGTCTCTCAGGTTTAAACATTTGTAATGGACAGAAATGCACATTTTAGAGATGGACCGGTCAGATGAGGGACCTTAGAAGTTAAAAAATGTCTGGTTGCTTGCCTTTCATTTGACTCCAATCATTAATCACGCCCCTCTAACAATCTCTTTTTTTGCTGAGTGCTTATTCATTTCTCAATACTTTTCATATTTCACCAAATTATTTTTTTTTATTATATGAAGAAAGTTCTATTGAAAATATCATCAGAGATTAAAAATAAACATATATGTTTAATAAGAATTCAATTTAGATTCATTATGTTGTAAGAGATAATTTTTATTATGAATTATGAATCTAATATCAAAAAAACCTTCCAAGATCAATGAGAATTATAAGTGAGAAGAACTATCCTCCAATGATCTGTTGATATGAATTATTTTTTTAAACTTGTATGATTTACCAAATCATGTTTCATCACATTAATATATCACCAACAAATGATATAATAATAAAAAAGGCACCATCATGAAGTCTAATTTGATGGCACCCTTTGCTTTTAGCCTAATTAATTGGTTGCACTTGGCCCAAAAAAAATTTTGTTTGCAAAGAAAATGCTAATGTAAAATTGGATCGAAAAGATGAGAAGGTGGATGGATATACAAAATTAAAGTCATATACTCTTTTTATTTTAAATTATAAAATATTTTTAAATAAAATTTTATATATTAATAAATTTTATTAAATACACCTAATAATTTTTTTAAAATAAAAATATAAACTTTTAAAAATACTTATCTTTTAATATATTGAAAAGAGAAGGGATGAAAATTAATTTTAAAAATAAAAAAATAATATTAAATATAATATATTTAATGAAACTTTAATTTATTTAAAATATTTTATATTTTAAAATAAAATTTTTTAAAAAATATTTTATAATTTAAAATGAAGGATGATTTTTTTTTTTTCCTGTTTGACGGGTTTTATCAATCGATGTGACTTTTTACCTCAATGGTCAATTCCCTTTTTGACATCGATGTATATGTAGCTGTGACAAATACTTTTGTTCTTACGTTGTTTTCTATGTAGTTTCTTCCTTTAAATATCTGAAATGACACAATTTATTATAATCATTTAATTTAATAAAACCAACCTATAATTTGCTCCTTTTCTACTTAAAGTCGTCGACAGCGATACGCAAACCACGACTGCATTGCATTTGATATATGCTATATCAACTTAATTACAATGACACAACAATATTAAAAAGCAGTTATAACGAGATTTAAATTATTCTCTACTTGTTGCTTTCTTTTTGCAAAACTGAAAATTATTCAATAGTCTCTCAATTATGATTTCCAGGCATAAGTTTTCATTTGTGTCTGAAAATAATTATTGTGCGCTCACATCAAATTTGAAAATTACATGATAAAAGCATGCGATACCAACAATATTCTCACGTTAACAGGGAGGGCATTGCCGCATAGGCATAGCATTAGTTTCGTTGAAAATTTCCTTGCAGTCGCCTACATATTATTATTAATACAATGCTTATTGTTATGTCACCATTATAAATTAATTTTAGATTATATAATAAGTGGCAAGTTGCATATTTCTTCCTTTTCGGTAATCATTCCAAAATAGAATAAAATAATTATTGAATTTTTAGTCATGCATATATTATTGCGTGTCAATTTCAATTCTTCTTTTAAGTAATGATAATTTATTTGGTTCGTAAAAGGAAGATGATATACAGTAGAAATAAATTACTTTCATATAATTATCAATCACAACATTAATGACATGCACGTTTAATGCGATTTAACTTGAATTATATAAAAAGCAACGCAACTGGAAGATGCTTTTCCCTCAAAAATAGAAAAAGAAAGAAAGATTGCAATATGGTAAGATGTATTTGAAGAAAAAGATTCATCCAAATCCAAATATTAATTGGACATTCAAGGATCCTATAGAACACTTGGTTCGAAATACTTGTCACAAATTAAAGATTTGATATTTTTCACACACACACACACACCCAGAGCACAAGTATTGAAGAAACCGATCTCTTGATAAAAGATAGTTGGTATCCCCCCTAAAATGAATTGGGTTTGGCCTGATGTATATTGTCAAACTTTCAATCAATCGCCGGTTTGATAGAAAACTCTCGAGTAATTACATTAGGAGATTCATGAGGAAGCGTGGTGCCACTAATGTAATCAGGACAAAGTAGAGTACTATTCTTCACCGTCTCAAGATTTGTTGGAATGATGGATTTTGGAACGTGATGAATGCTAGCTATTGATAACAGTTATTTACTGTGCAAGAGGTCGATTGACTTGGATCAACAGTAATTAATATCTTCTGTTTCGTTCTCCATGTAATTCTATGGCCTGGCCATAACCTTCTTAAAGAAGAAGCAGCAGAAAATGTTTTATGATATTACTTGAATGCTTGAGGAGGATGCCATCTTTTGTCCATGACAAATTGTTGGGGGGTATTGCTAGTAAGTCAGTTGTTTATAATGTTATTGGTAGTAAGACAATAGGCACTGTCAGAAGGATCCCAGTTACCTCTGGACGAAGAAAAGACTGATCTGGCCGGTTCAATGTGAAATCTATGTTAAATCTGTATATCTCTATTCATATATAACTGAATATGATAGAATGAAGTAATTCATGCGTACCTGAAGAATCCATGAGTGTTAGAGAAATCTCGATTACCTCGAGTATAGGCAGGTATACAACCCACAGTTCCACTGAGCCTTCAGAGAGTTTAGAGATAATGGAAGTAGAAGAATGAGTCGTGTGTTTGTGGTTATTGACTGATCGATTTATATAGATCAGATATGTAATCATCTTATCAAATAATTAATAATTATATTATCTATTATCTTTGACTCAGTTAGTTAAAAAATAGAAAATAACTTATGGCTATTAGGTTGTGAGTTGGGCCTCTACCCATTGGGCTCATTTGTGTGGTCCACCTATCACGGTCCACACAAGATCATAAAGACCAAAATATTGGGCCTATTAATTAATGCTAATTCATAAATAATATTCCAACAATCTCCCACTTGGATTGCATTAATTAAGCAAGTTGTACAAACAAGTCACAAACAAAATTTAGAAAATGAAACTCCATAAAATCACTGAATCTTATGGGAAAACAAGTGATATGATATCTCATTATCTGAATAAAATATGTAATTTTATTTCAAACACAGCTCAGTAAGATACCAACATAAATCTCTGATTCTTATGAGGAAACAAGTGACATGCATAGCGTACCACAACAGAAT